CTTGAACAAAACAAATAACCTTACATCTGTTATTTATAGATGGCTCACCAGTCACCTTTCCCTTTAAGATCATTTGTGGGATACTACAAACAGGAAAGGTGACTGGTGGCCATCTTGATCAACACATTACAATACTCCAGTGGGGGAAACACTGTAGTGATTTTAGGGAAACAAACAAGGTAAGTATAATTCACATTTCATTCTTATCACATACACACTCATAAACATACCAGAAGGGTAGAGGGTAATATTGGAGTATTTCATGTTCACACTTACATTTACAATACATTTCTCCCAACTTGATTTTTTTTTCAGGTAGATTTAACTGCTTACATTTTATTGCACTGTTTCAGAACTGAGTTAGTTGTGTTATAAAAATGTGTTTTATTGGGTAAACATTCTCATTTTTGTCATTTGAAGTGGAAGCAGAAGTATAAGTACAGTCACAATTGGATGGTTCTTGTAACCCTACTCATAGACTGGCCTGAAATACATGGTAATTTCATTTTTCAGCTGACTGAACATTTGCATAAAGAAGATAGATTATTAAAAGCAGATGCATTTGTTTCAAGAATGTATCTTCTGAACGGAATTGTTTGTTTTGGGCTCATATTCTGTGTGGTTGGGAACATTTTCAAATCTGATGATTGGAGGTCTTCATAGACAGATTGTAGAACTGCTCAGTTTAAACCCCAGCTAGGGTTAGGGATAGCATTCCCACAGTACTTCAAGATTTTTTAACCTCATGGTTGTATTTTGAGCCCCATGTGAAATTTGGGACTAGTGATACTTTTCGCCTAATTAGATTTTTTTTTCATGATAGATGTGACTGCTTATATTTGAAGGCACATTTCGGGAATTGTAATTCCAAAACTGAGTCAAAATAAAAGTGTTAGGAAAACCAGTTCCATTAGGTAAATGCTCTTATTTTTGTCATTTAAAGTGGAAGCAGAAGCATAAGTAGGGTCAGAATTGGATGGTTCTTACAACCCTAACCCTAGGCTGGCCTGAAATACAAACCCCAGCTAGGGTTAGGGTTATTATTCCCACAGTACTTAGACATTTTTTAACCACATGGCTGTATTTTGGGCCCCAAGTCAAATTTAGGATGAGTGATACTGTATATACCACATTATCATCATAAAGAATGCCAAAGTTCTTAATTTTTTATAACTTTTTATTTAACAATGCAAAGATTTACAAATAAGACATATACACAGTAAAATAATGTACTGCTTCTATCTTTCATTTCACAATTAAATTATGTTTTTATATAATTACATTATACCAGCATAGATGGGAGGTTACTTATAGAAACACAGTCAGCAAAAACACATCAGATAAGCAACAATCCAGACAACAAGTTACGTCATCCTCTTTTACAGCACAGATTCAGGTCTCTATGGGGCCACAAACCCAGTCCAGGCTTGGTATTTGCTAAACCTCTTCGCCTGTAACCTAAGAGAAAGGACGATCTTTTCCATTATATAAAACTCCTTCATTACATTGTTCCACTGTTCTGCAGTTGGGGGCTCTTTAGTAAACCATTTTTTTCAGGATAGTTTTCTTAATGGCAGCTCAAATAATTCCTGGTACTGTATATATCTGTCCTTTACTTCCAAGTAGTCCAAAGTAAGATTATCCAAATACATAACAGAATTCAAGTGGTATGTCTAGGTTTACTCTGCTAATAAGATCTAAAAGTATGAATTTTCAATATTGTTTAGATGTATTTCCGGGCATAACCAGAGTAGGTGTAGATGACTTGCTGCTCGCTCTCCTCATAACCTCCAACATGGCGTACTGCTTCCTTTTCATTTTGCTTGAATTTTAGGACTGATGATAAATGAGCCAAGTTTCTCCAACAGAAATGTCTCCAAACTTGTGAGCTAGTGGAGCTTTGTTGAAATCTGCATATGTTCCTCCATTGTTCTACAGAAAGTGTTTTAGCATGTTCTTTTCCCCAGTTTATTTGAATATATTCTTTAATTGCCCATTATTTCTGTTTGGTAGTTAGTAGTTAATTGATCCCAGGATCTCATCCAGCCAATCCAGGGTGTCAACTTCAACAACAAGGCTGGATAGCTTGTTCCTTACTTCCAGTTGTTCACCGTTTTAAATGCACATCCACTTGTGTCCTCATCACTGGGATGATTTTGTCAATGCCTTTGAGGATTTAACATATTTGTACGAAGTCCCCTCGTAGATATTTCTGTTAAAACCTAAAAAGGTTCAGTTTCTTCAGGCTGTCAGTGTAGGACATTCTCTTAAGGCTCTTTAAAATGTGATATGTCTGGGAAAATGGTCATAACTCACAGAAACTGTGGTTCCGAGTAATCGGTGTGTATAATAATACACATAATAACATTGTTGGAATATCTTGTCCAGTGGCAACCAGATACAGAGGGCTTGTGGCATAGAGATAGTTCGGAGGTTATCCTTTAGGAGAAAGGATTAAACATTTTATCATTAAGATTTATATTTAATAATTATGTGCAGCAAACATTTAATACTGCTAGCTCATTCACAATTCCTGCAGAATGAACTAGTTTTTAGTATAAAAGACTAAAATGGGAGAGTAATCTCAAAGCATGTTAATGAACAATTTATTGTTAATCAACATAATTAAATAGATGCATTATGTTATTAATATAAACAGCATTGAAAAGGGGATATATTTTTCTCCAGTATTTCTTCATATTCTAATTTCTGCTGATATAATGGGTGCTTGTTCTCATCTCTGTGCTGACGTTCTGATGAAATGGCCTACTAGGTTTCTAAAATAATTATTTACTATGTAATGTACTGTATATGTATATACTGTATAAGTGCTGCAATTTTCAGTGATGTTTTGTTGCTTCCACTCAAAATAGAATGTACAAAGAACTTGCTTATGAAAGCCAAGGAATACATTAGTAGGCTGCAATTTGGGATATCACCGTACTCTCGAATGAAATGACCCAATCATTAAGGCAGGCTTGGCCATGTGTAACTATGTAACTGAGTCACCGTTGTATGATTTATACTGGCTATTATTCTGACCCAGAAAGCAGAATCAATTTGAATCCTTTACATAGTGAAGATTTTTTAATCTATTGCAAAAAATGTTTATACGCCTCTCCCATAATTCTTTAAAACCACCGGAAACAGTGACTGATTCGACTGCTTTCTTGTGTTTTGAGGCTGTTTCCGACAGTCTCCACTCTCATGCTGAGGACCGCGCAGCTGTTTCCCTTCTTTTTCAGGGTGAACGGTTTTGACACCACCAAAGGTTTACAAGGATGGGTCAGGTCAATGCAATAAATAAGAAGTCAATGCAGTGAAGTCCCATTGAAGTGTTTCCTCTCCCAATGTCGATTGCCCTGGAAAAAAAATACTCCTAATGAAAACAATACGTTCTTCCTGCAAATGTGAATGGAATAGGGAGGGATGCTTGCAGATAATAATGTGTGAACAGCATATGGAAAAGGAATGATGGAGACCACCCAGTCACTGACAATACCTAGAAAACATGATTCAGTATTCAGGCAGTTTGGAGAGCTTTGTTTAACACTTCTCGATGAAACAAAATGAATTGTTTAAAAATAAAAGCATTGAACTGTACTCAAAAGAAACAAAACAGAAACCGAGAGCCCAAATAAAAAAAAATGTCAGCCGTTTGTGATTCTTTCTTTGTGCCTTTTGGAAAATTGTCACATCATATTCTTTCTGTCGCTGAGGTGTTTAAAAAAATGCACCCCTGCAATTTGAATCATATAAAACACAAGTATCCACTCACAAACACAAAAAAACAAAGTCAATGGAAATGATACTTTTAAGAAGTTAAGAACAGGTCAACAGGCCATTTGACTGATCTAGCCCATTTGGTAGTTAGTAACTGATCCAAGCTCATCCGCTATATCTTGAATGAAGCCAGGGTATTGGATTCAAAAAGATGGCTTAGTAGTTTGTGCCATATGCACACAACCTTTTGGGTAAAGAAATGCCCAAATGCACTTCCACATAGATTCCATTTGTGTCCTGTGGCTCATGTTTCACTGATCATTCAGAAACCCGGTCCGGTGGGTTGACATCATCAGTGCCTTTGTGGATTTTGAGTACTTGTGTCAGCACCCCTGGCAATTTTCTCTGTTCAAGGCTAGAAAGGTTCAGTTCCTTCAGTCTATCAGTGTAGATCATTCTCTTAAGCCTCAGAAAGTACTGTATATGGTTGCTCTTCTTTAGACTGATCCCAGAGCAGCAATGTCTTTTCTGTGTTGTAATGACCACATTTGGGCATACTTGAAATAAAGCCTTAATTAAACACATTTAACATAATGTCTGTTGAAATACAGTAAATTTTATGCTTTTAACCATATATCCTTGAACTTTATTTGCCTTTTTGATTGCTTCTCCAGATTGTCTAAAAAAAGTAAATGACATGCCAAAGACACAAAGTCTTTTCAGTTAGTCTCTTCTACTGCTCTGCTCAGTGTTTCACATTTTGTATTTATCTAGTGTATTAAAAGATGAAGGAAAGGGCTATGAGAAGCCTGAAGGCATACAGAGTAAGATTATCACATCGCTCTGTGCCCTTCAGCACGGTGCATGTCTGCGCTATGAAACAAAGAGACCAGTTATATAATTTTAATAACATTTAAAAGCTTAATACTCTCATCAGCAGCTGTACTGAATTCTCATTACTGTCAGTTTCAGAATGTTTTAGTTGAGTAGCAGGAACATGCCCAAAGGCATCTTTGTTGCGTTGTATAACAGAAATTGTTAGCAGAGCAAGACAAGTATCTTGAAAAGGATGTTGCTTCTACTTGCATTCATGTGTGGGTGGGAGTATACAAAGATATGAAACTTTCAGGAATTTTAAGTCTCGGTCCCTCGTGGTGTTCCTGCATTAGCCTTTAGCATGTTGTGTTTGGCTTTCCTGGTGTTACTTTAAAAAAGACTACTTGGTTTTCTATCTTTGAGGAAACAACAGGTACACATGTCAAATTCCAGCGATCAAGAAACTTGAACATTCATTTAATAAAGACACTGTAATTGAACTGTAATTAGGAAATAGATGCTTTTGAACACTCATTATAGAACACTGATTACAGAATAGACATTCTTGAACTTTAATTATGTTACAGATGCATATGAACATTCATTATAGAACATTAATTATTAAATAAACATTCTAGACCATTCATTATGGAACAGATATATATATATGAATATTCATTTTAGAACATTATTACAGAATAGACACTCTTGACCATTAATTACAGGGTAGCAACATACAGCTGTATGACTTATGGGAAAGGAGGTAGTTACTTTCCTCTCCTGTGACCCCAAAGGGACTTTAATCATGTGAAACATAACTTCTTCCCTGCAGTGGGACGCTTACAATAACAGAAGCAGTAAAGCTTCTACACAAAGAAATTTCATTTGATCTGAAGGCAAAATTCCCACAGACAGTAGTATTTAAGTGCATTCAGATTTATGTTTATTTAAGGGAATTAAGCTGTTACTTATTTAGATTGTATATATATTTCAGAGATGAATTATTTCTAAAAACAAAACCATTTGTCTCTCTGCACTTGCTTTGAGATCAGGTCATTTGAAAAGACTGAATTTAAAACATAAAGAACAGTTTAATTGTTCCAAGGATGACTCAAGTCAAAGGCCAGAGTTGGTAATGACTGCTGTCCTAAAAACAATACATTTCCTGTCTGTTATTTGAATAATTAAATGTCACGTCACCACGTTTACATAGAATGAGAATTGAAAAGTAGTGATTTTTTTGTTTTGCGTGGCATTAATCATACTCTAAGGCTTTATTAATAATGTGACATAACAAATTGTTATCTGTCTCATAAGCTTACTATCGGTAGGAGATTTCAGAACTTTGTTCATAATACTTGCTTGGGCATGTACAAACACAGCAATACAGGAATGCTGCTTCTATCTGATTATAAAAGCAGAGTTTTCAAAACCTATTTGAAATATGAGTACACCTTGCAGGTCAATCTACTGATTTTGCACCAGGCTACTATTTCTTTTACTTCAGCTTTAGCAGACATTAATCTTGAGCATCTTGAATTACCACAGTATCCATCTAGAAACAGATTCATATCCATCAGCTTCTTGGAAGTGATGTTAAACAATGAAAAGTTCCTTTGAGATTTTAATAAGTAATCTGTACATAGAGACTAAAATAATTTAATTAATCACTTTGAAAAGTGGAACTCCACCTTAACTTTTTTAAAGAAAAAAATATTTGTTATCAATTGAAACATCAATATATAACAACAAAAACTGAATTTGGTACATTATTTCTTATTTTCAATTTATAAAATTTCTTACACAAAAGTTCAACAAAGGACACCAAGAATAAACAATATACAAACACGTGGATGAATCACATTGTTCTAAGGTTCAGTGCAAATAATGATAAGCATATATCAGTAATATGTAACTTACAAGTCACATTAAACATCACAGATGGGCCAAATTTGAATTAATTTATGATGTTGGTATTGCCTTATCTGCATTCACCTATGCTCAATCAGGGTTTGTTTTTCAAGGTAACGTCTATTTGTTTTATACATTTATAGTCAATCCTGATTTATGATAAATACTCTTGCTGCACTAATCTCTGAGGTTAATCCTGGTTTTATTTTGACTTTATAGTGTTTTGCATATCCATACCTGAAATAATACAAAAAAGTCTATTGACTGAGTATCTTTCTGTGGCTGATTGTTGTGCAACACTTGAAAGTGCGTGACTGCAGATCCCTGCTGGAAATGTCTGTATTATGCAACTTTCATTAGACACACTCAGGCTCATCCAATAAAAGCCTCCTCCAGTTTCATGTCCAGACTGTGCCAGGTGGCACAAAAGGCAGGGAATCTCCAGTCTTGGTGAAAAATTGGTTCAGTGTTGCTGGCTAATCAGTAGCCTACAATGCAACAGAGTGCACTGTACTGGCAGCTTGCCTGTGATCAAATACTGTTGGTGGGATTTTTCATCCTCTGACTGTACATAACCTAATCACAGCCCAAAAATATTCAGCCTGCTGATACTTCCTCGAGGAGGCATGTACTGTATGCATCTAGAAGTGACTCTCGTCATCTCGTTTCAAAAGACAATACTCTAAAAGGGAATACAAAAGGGGAAAATGTTGCTAGTCCAAAATGTACTACAAAGTAATAAAATAATTTGCCTGAAGTTTAAGTAAAGCTTAAGGGTCTGATCTAAACTTAATAATCCTGAATCTTCAGACTCCTCCAGGCATATGCTCAAATACAACTCTGAGGCACAGACCTGCATTTTACTCCAGTTAGATCTTGTTTTGTCACTGTGTTGGTTTTGGACTCGACACCTTGTTTTGCAGTATAAGGGCTGAATTTGTCTCATTTTTTAAATTTTGCAGAACATTTCTTGGACATGCACCCTTCTTTCACAAGTGTCTTTGAAATTTTGTTAAAGGAAGTCTTAAGCCAAGAGACCACAAGGCTCCTTGTGCCTGAATGTTGCAAAATAATCTTATTCCTCTGCCATCCATCCATCTTCTTCCATCCATGTACAGCCTGGACAGGATACCAGTCCATTGCAGGGCAGACAGACAGTTTTCTTACAACTTTTGTTGACATGTTTGAGATGAAGTCAGAAGTATTACTGTATTATCTGTTTTTTTTTAATTGAATAGACATTACTAACTTGGCATGTGTTTTCGAGGTAATACATTTTCAACTCTTCTGTAGGAGTTTATCTATTCATCCTTGGATTCCAGGACTTTGAAAAGGCCAACAATGACATAGTTAATATTGTAATATTAGAACTAACTCCAGTTATAAGAGGCCACCTTTGCTCTTACTTTAAATGTACTTTATAAAATGGCATTCACAAACCATTTGAGAGCCCATAAGCAATTAACCTGCTCAAGGTAACATACTGAAACCATACATGAATGAAAACCTGGACTTTCACTGTCTAGTGAAATGGATATTTCCACCTGAGTACAAACCGCTACCTTCCTTTGTTATTAACAGTGCACAGCACATAATCTGAAATCAGATTTTGTTAACAAACAGGACATCCTCTGAAACGGCACTGAAGGGAGACTCATTTGTGCACTTCTCTTGTGGTCTGATATACCCACTGTTTCACTGTATGTTCAGCAATGCCTTACAGGTGAGCTGGCACTGCCTGAAGGAGCAGTGCATCTCTAACTGATGGCAATGCAAACTCACAGGCACCCAGCAACTGTCAAGGGCTATTGGTGTGTGAAACTAGAGCTCACCCAGCCATAGGAATGCTCAGTCTATAGTGTACTACCAGATGGAGAGATCCAGTCACTGTCAGCTAACCTGCCAGGGCACAAGCCAGTGATGTCTGGGCTACAGAGCTCAACCTCCACTGTTAAGTGACTGTTTTTACTGGTTAAGCATCTTAGGGGGCCCTGACACAATGGTATTTCCAAAAAACAGTTCTGAATGCTGTTCTGAACCTCTTGCAGTAAACAAGTGGTAGCAAAACAGACTTGTGGGTGAAAATGAGAAGAGATTGGCTACAGTAGATGCAAAATTTAGAGGTTATTTTATCTCTGTTACTAATGGGATTGTGTCAAGTGCAGCTCTTCCTGCCCCTGCCAGGATTTGATCCCTCACAGGCTCCCACTCCCTAGACAGTGGATAACACCATCACGCCAGGAGACCAGGTCCTCCACCACAGGAGAATTCAGCACAACACCAATGGGGAAAGCGCCTCTACTCCACCCCTGCCAGGATCCAATCACAATCACTAGTGAGCCTAGAACAACACACTGTCACTTGACAGCCAGCAGAGAATTTAGCTGGACCACAAGACTGCCTGTGGCTGAGTCTCACACAGTTCAGATTTCAGAGGGAGGTGACATCCGCTTCTGTAGTTTGCTCGATGCACTGAGCCCCCTTACAGAGCAAGCCATAGGACAGAAGTTTCACCACAGTAGACATACACATTTGAAACATTTTTCAAACATTTTCAAGTTGTACAGGTTGCATAAATAATTGGTTAAAGTATTAGCACTAAGATGTGTATTGTTTGATAAATGTCAGTTACTGTCCTTGAAGAACCCTTACGGTTGTATGATATATAGTGTTCAATCATACAACAGGATGTCTGACAATTGAATCCAGACTTTTATGTCCCTAATCTTATCTTTCAAAATGAATATCTCTTTTAACAATCTCAGCAGTGCTTTAATAAACAAAAAAGCATTATCTCGTTTTGGATTTTATGAATGGAATTTGTTCCTCTCTTAGATTTTGTTGTAATAGGTTTACAGTGCTCCAAGAAAGAGAGACAATATTTGTATATCCCTTTGTTTGATTATGGCTGGAAAAACCCTCATCTTTAATTCAAAGCTCGGTTATGGATCTCGGACTTGAGAAGCACGTTGGTAGTTGTTGTGTTGTGCAGTGAAAGCTGGATATGTTTTTCCATCTCTAGTCCAGGCTTCAAGGTGTCGTTCCTCCTCTGACAAGCTTTGCCTCTACACAGTGCTGTCCTCAGGAACCGCAGCACTGAGGGACTCAGGATGATGAAAAGCCAAGGGTCAATGATGGAGTTAATGGACAAAAACCGCAGGGCAATCAAGTCAGTTCTGTGGCTTCCAGTTATCGACTGAGAAGAGTTAATGTAGACGCGGATCTATAAGAACATAAAAACATAAAAAATGTTAACAATGAGAAAGGCCATTCTGCCTATCTCGCCTGTTTGGTAGTTATTAGCTAAATGATGCGAAGATCTCATCTCAGCAGAAAGGAGCCAGGGTATTGACTTCAACAACATGGCTGGGTAGCTTGTTCTATACTCCTACAGCCCTTTAGGCAAAGAAGTTTTTTCTGTTGCTGGTTTTAAATGCACAAAAAGAGATTAAAAACGCAGTCTGTCAAATACTTTCTGGACCTACTGGACTCTTAAAATAGCTCTTTCCTTTTTTGAAACAAAAATACATATCCAGTGGTTTCTCCAAAAGATGACCATCAAAATGTCTGTTTTTTCCATGGGATTATGAAATTATCTGCGTTCCTAAAATGTATGTGTTTGAGAAGGAAAAATAGAGACAAAGATATGCAGTATATAAAGATGCTGTTTCCTTATGATGACCTCGCAAACATTTCCTCCTCTACAGAAATTGTTTTTATTTTACTCACAACTCCCTTCTTTGTGCTACTTTTTATCTAATCTAAAAACTTTTTTCTACATAATGCAAATGCCTTGTTACTTATTGACAGAAGCTACATGTCAGTCCTGTCAAAACAACACACAAAATCAAGTTTCAGCAAGAGACTCTCAGTGATGTGGATCCATTTGATGCATGTGAGCAACCCCTCCTTTCTTGTCCTCCAGATGACCATTAAATGGGTAGGCACAAGAGCCATGACACAATATATCTCTTGTTTTTTCTCTACAAAGTGTTGTCTTTTATACATGCTTAGACACTCATGAAAACAGTCATCAGAAATGCAAGCTTTTCTTTAAGTGAGCTTTCTATAAGTTATCTTTGCAAATATTACATTCTTTATTATCTCTGATACTAAAAAGCTTCCATAATGTTTTGTTGAAGTTACACAACTGTCTAATTTTGACAAGGGTGTATCTTAGAATATATCTCATAAAACAATGTAATACCGTACAGGAAAAAAATATCTTGAATTCCTTATAGCTAGTATTTTGTGTTACATCTTGCATGCATGCTGTAATCTCTTCGGAAATGAGTTTTTCCAGTTACATACAGTATTCCGAGGGCTTCCTTCAAATGTCAATCAGAGCTTTCTCTTTCTGATTTTGTTTGATACACTCTCACAGAACTGAAGACAAAACTGAGGGCTCTGCTCTTAATATTGTAGCACCCACGTGCTACAATATGCGCACACAAGGTAGGCTGGGAACGGCGGCTGAGGGGCCCGTATATAGTGGGACGAGGGCTGGAGACGCTCTCTTCCCTCTTGTGTCTGTGTAGGTGTGGTGCAGTGCTATATCTCCCCTGGTTCTCTGTGTGTAACCCCCCTCAGCGTCTTTAATAAATGTCCTGCCAAACTGTGCCAGGGCCTCCAGCCTGTTTCTTTCCGTCTGCGAACCCTGGGAGCGTTAAATTGGTGTCAGGAGTGGGACGGAGAGGAGCAGCACGGTAAGAGGCTCGGCACACGGTGAGAGGCCGGGGCACGGAGAAAGGCCCACAGGAGCCCGCAGAGAGGTCCCCGGCAGCAAAGAGCCCCGGTAACGGAGTGGCCCGGTGCGCAGAGAGAGGCCCAGTGGGGCTCTGGGAGAGAGGCCTGGTGCGTGGAGGGAAGCCCAGTGGGGCTCTGGGAGAGAGGCCCAGTGGGGCCCTGCTGGTGTGGCGGCAGCCCTGACGACAGGCTCAGTGGAGGCCACGGAGTTGCCTGCCTTGCTCCTGCCTGCTCAATTTTTTACAATTTTTGGGTCATTGAGTATCCTGTATATTCTCACGGGAGAGGTGGGCATGGCACATCTTGCCATTATGCAGCTTTATTATGAGTCACTACTCATTGACAGAAGAATTTCCTAAGGTTGTGTCTAGGTCTTTCCCAACTCAAATCTGGTGCGATTTTGTGCTGTATTTATTCCAATAGACAAAGCTTAAAGCCACACATCAGTGGAAACCATTTTGTCCTAAATGTACTAATATAACCATAACATGGGTATCCTCGAACTGCATGTCTGATTTTCTCAACCAAATTACAGTTGCACCACATTTGGGGATGACTCGTTAATTCACCCTTCACAGCCATCAATTGTTAGCCTTTACTGTTTAAAACCTGAACACAAGTCCCTTTATTCTTTAGTTATCGTTTCGGATTAAAAATCTCATGTTGATTGGAAGCCAAAGTAAGTGTAGGTAAATTAGGTAAAATGTAGGTGTAGGTAAAATCTGATAAATTAATTTCAAAGTAAATAAAACATAAGATTATAATGTCACAAATTGCACATCGAGTAACTAGTGACCAAATACACTCCCAAAGCCATTTTATAAAATTTAGGAGAGAATCTGCACTCACAGTGATATTCAACAGTTTGTTCCATAAACCCACAACCTTCATCATCAGATTGTCTCTAATTCTAATCATACTTAATTACCTTATAATGTAGAGTATTTTTTATCTAATCTCCCACTGTAGTATACCAGTTCTAGCAGCAGCCAAATGGAGGTGTACAGAATGGCATACTCTTGGTCTTTAAGGAGATAGGTGATCATATTAATAAAACAGCAGGTGCCAGGGCAGTACTGCATGTATTCAGGATTTAAAATATCTCCCTCAGTCCCTTTCCAAGTTCAGATTGTTCCAATCCAAAAACACTGGAACTGACATTTTGTGCAAAATCCTGTAATTTACGGTATTTGTAAGTTAATTGTTAAAACAATGAATACACGCACCAACTAACAGCCCCTTGTATTGTAAATTGGATGTTGATGTGTTGGTACAGTATTTTGAAGCCTAACAAATTAGTAAGAGCTTATTTGAAACCCTCACAGGATAACCAAAAGATTACAGTATTCTTTTCTCATGGTCATGTTGGTTGAAACTCTTTATTTCTCTCTATCTAAAAATGTAATGTTCATACAGTACACAGTAGTATAAAACAAAGTAGATATCTGGGGCTGCAGTTTGTGGTTTATTAGTAACAAACTGATAACTAGTAGTATAATGCTTGTTTATGTTACAAACGTTGCCATTTATGTTATTTGTATTTATTGATATGATTTATTTGTATCTTTATAGATACTGGTTAAAATGTATCTGATTTTGGTGCACTGTTTAATTGTTCGATTAATTTGAATAGCTTAATATCAGCTGTCAGCAGAATTGCTTACTTGAATTGTATAACTTAAAATCTAGAACTTAAATCTGGGAAGGAAAAACATTATAAGCCAAATTAAATTTTGTGTGTTTTCGATTATTTTTTAAAGGAACTACATAAAGAAATCAACAAAACTCAGGGTCATGTGTATTCATATAATGTCTGTAACAAAGAACGAGAATATTAAGGATGCAAATAATGTAGGAGCAGAAGAGCATTGGATATATTTATCTTCACATCTACTCACCTGGCTACTCAAAAAGATTCTCACAATTCATTATTCAGCACCAGGGTCAATTTAACAATATTTAAAGAAAAAGAATTGAGAAATTCTGCATATAAATTGAATGTGGCTGTACTCACTGACAAAACTCTGGTGTTGCCTTTGTTGAGGAAAGCAGTGTTAGTGTCTTACCGTCAGAGGCAGGGAGCAAATGACGAAAGCCACGGTTATGAAGACGAGAAGAATGAGATGCTCTATTTCTTCAGTCATGGATGGAGACCTCCTGTCCTTTCTGCTCCTCTTCTCTACGGATCCGCGGTTTACTTTGTGCCTCCGGTGCATTAGTACCAAGTGGTAAATGACAGACACGTTGCAGGTCACGATGGAAATAACTAGCAGGAGCATAAGGGTGGCGTACAGGATGGCGTACACTTTATCTTGGAGGCTTTCGGGGTTCATATTAATAAAACACCAGGTGCCCGGACAGTACTGAACATATTTCCCAAACTTCATGAAAGGCAGTAAACAAAACACGATACAGATGAGGTATATGAAGGGGATGGAGATGTACCCACATCGTTTCGTGATGTGCCGTCCGTAGAAGTAAGGGTAGCCTATGGATAAACAGCGCTCCAGAGCCATGGCGAAGAGAATAGACAAAGTGGCTAAACTAAAGAATGTCATGCTGAAGCTAAAATAATTGCAGACAGTGCTGGTACCATTCTCCAAGTCCGTCTCATTTCTCCACATACTGACCAGAGTCCTGTTGGTAGCGTAAGAAGCGAGCACGAGTGGGCTGATGAAGCATGTTCCCATGAGGTCTGTTACAATCAATCCGGTGACCAGCACATGGAACAAGGATTGCCGCTGTCTGCTCTTGTGCTTCCTCCTGCGGATTTCCAAAAGGATCAAGGCGAGTACATTCCCGAGTACTCCGGCTGAGAACATGACAGCGCTGATGACCGGGCTCCCCGGCTCCACCGTTCTCCTGTCATGGCAACCATCAGGTGTCCCCATTTCCAAAGTAAATGTTTGGCTAAAACTCCTGGGATAAATATTCCTCTTTCACTTTTGTTTGAGATCAATAGCGGCAACATACCTGTGGTTGTTTGGTGTTTTCATTATTTTATAACTGTAAAAACTCGGAAGTATTGTATGGTGAAAAAGTCAAACGTGCGTCCACCGTTCGGTCTGTGTTGTAATCGCTGAAGTTGTACCGAAAACGCGCTACTAACAGGAAGCAGCGAGAGAAGAGGGATGGTCTTTCTCAAGCGAAGCAGAACCAAGGCAAGGAGTTTCTCCTTTATCACTTTCTGTTTGCAAAAGATGAACACACAAGCGTGTCTCCCTTGTGTTATTTGACGGTCAACTTGAATGCCAGAAAACAAGCGGTTTGAAGTTTTCGTTTTCCTTGAATTAAAGTAAAAAAAAATAGCAACTCAAAACAGTTATTTCCCGTTTCTCACTTTTACGTAGCATGAAACTAAAAAAAAGTTGTTTATAATATACGGAGCGTTAAGAGTCATGAGCCATGTGTTCCTCTCACGAAGATGTGGTGACGTTTTCCAGCTGTTGACACACCCTCTTAGAAAAGTTAAATGGAAAAATCTGGATATTCAAGATGCCTTCAATGTTCTCACCAACGTATCACAGTTCTCAAACTTAAATATGGAGAGTACAATTTTCCACAAACTGACAATTATAAAAAATAATGAGAAAATCACAGTATATTGTTTTGGACGCCAGTTATAATAAAATAATACACTGTATATAATACCATGACCTCCTAGTTTAATGCAAAACAGAATTTTGGAATTCTGTTGTCACAGATTTGACTCATGCCAGATTTATAGTTCAGTGGCTAAACAGAGTTTGAATATGGAAAATACAATAAAAATCTTATATTCACAATTTAGAAACCAGGACATTCTTTATGTTAGTTATACTATAGGATTCATTCGTTTCAATTGGAAACAGTTTTCAAATGTACAATTTTTGCTTTTCAATCTTAAATGTATGTTGGGCTTTTGAGGATACTTGCCATGTTCCAAATCACCAGCTACACTGCTTTCTAAGTAGAATATTTTATTGAGAAAGCAAGACAGTCACTATCCATCTTGATTTATGGATTTTTGTATTTCATTTCTTATCAGTGATGTTGGGGAAGCTTTGATTTCATTGACGAATAGGAAATGGAAGTTTGAAAAGCAATTTGATCAATCTGGATTGCATGCTATTTTCTAATTTTGGAAAAGTTCAATGGAAAAAATCTGGAGATTCATGATGGTTTCACTGTGTTTAGTGAAGTGTCAAACTTCTCAAACCTACAGTAACAACGGACAGTACATATTTCCACAAATTATTTATGTTAATTATTAATATGTTCAGTTAATAGAAAACTTTGATGAGTATCATCCGAGTAAATTACGTTCTTGATAGCCTTCACATATTCCAAAACATTATCATTTAACAATTATTAACTTTTCAGATTGTCTTGGATTAAAGCACTTCTCATAATTCAATTCTTGGTAATACAATAATAACAATAATAATTCAATGAAAACAATAACTATGAAAATATTAACAGATATTTCTGTGGGCGATATTTGTAATTAAAAAGTATATGGAAGATAATGCCTATCTAGTTTAATGTGCTAATAGAACTTTGGAATTTTCTTGTCACAAGCTTGATCTCAGCCACGTTTATAGTTCAGAGGTTAAACAGACCTTAAATCTGGAAAATAATCCAAAAAAATTCTTATGTTCACAATTTAGAAATCAGACTATTTCTTATATCAGCAATTAGGAGTCTTCACATTCGTACTTAATTTGCTAAGATCAACCAGTAGCCATTTTGATGTATCTAGTTTTTGCTTTTCAAACTCAAGTGTGTTCTGGGCAGGTGATGGTGTTTGCCAAATTCCACACCTGTACCTGTACTGGCCCTTAAGTAGAATATTTTATTGAGGAATCAGGAAAGTCATCCATCTTGTTTTATGAATGCTACTGTTGATGTTGGAGAAGTAGAGATGTCATTGGCTAAAGGGGTTTGCAATTGAAAATGGAATTTTCAAAGGCAGTTTGACCAATGTTGATTTATGGTAATGCTATTTTGCTTTCAAAATATATTGTACTGACTTTGATAAATAGTCATCCAGCCTGGATAGTTGTAGATATGTGATCACTCCTATCACTCCCAGGAACAAGATTTTAAGTTCTTTGCTGAGAAAGTAAGTAAACAGCCATTTTTACACAGAAGTACTGTTTTCTCGTGATGCATTTGAATGATGCTTGTCAGATTTAGACACAAGAAGCTTAAATTTGGTTTACACATTTGGTCAGTTAGGGCTGTTTGGTAGTGAAGATTTTTATTTTAAAATTTATGATAATAACATACAGTACAGTATGCTTAACAAACTTGAAGTGGGTTAATGTTGCCATCATTGATGTTGCCAAGTGTCTTACTAATCACTTCAATGGATCCCAAGAGAAAGAATTGGAAAACATAGGTTATTGATAAAAAGGGTTCAGTTGGTCTTATTTTAGGAAGGAGTTAGTCTGAGTTTTTTCAGACTTTAATTCTATTGTCCCTGGGATGACCAATTTTGAATTGATTGCTAAAACAGTTTCAAATTCCAGTAGGAACGTCTGACAAACAGATGGCATGAAACGACCTTGCAATGGAAATACAGCATACATTAAACAGCATTTTCTTTCTGTGCATTCTTTTCTGTGCTGACTGCTGTTGGTCTCAGCCCCTTTATAAATAGATAAAACTTTCACCCCACACATGGCAGCCTATATTCAGGGCAGGATCTAAAGTTAGTTTCAAGGTGCTTCTGAGGAATAGCTAGTAAATGGAGAATCTGTCTACCAAATAATAGCACCACATAAAGCGAAACAATAAATTACCAAGATCATTTGCAAAATTAAAGCTTTGCTTTACAATATTTCTTATTGCAGTTATGATTTATGATCCACACTCTAGCCATTTTTGTGTATACAATATTGTCTTTCAGTACTGGGAAACAAAACATTTGTCAACAGAGATTTCATGCTAATTGCTTTAACTAACCTTATTAACCGTTCCCACTTTGTGGCTTCTTTTTGTTGAAATTTAAACAAATTGTTCACAAGTATTTATCTCCTTCAACAGCTGTTTTGCGTCATCGAGATAACAAGTAAGAAAAGTCATCTCAGTTGTTACCACGCTCTCAGCTCAACCGGCTAAGATCCAGCTATTTCTGGGAGCTGTTTCCTCTTACAACAGAGAGTGGCAATGGTGTGGTTTCATTGTAAAATGGATTGAAACAAAAGTGTTCTTCTTGATTAAGCATCTTGATTTTCTGTTCTAGCACTGGAGTGGGGATTTCTAAGACTCTTTCTGTCTAGAAGAAAACTTGGCAATATGGCACACTGGTCTGTAATGTTCATGATTACAGTAAAACTGCATCCTCAATATTTAATGAGTCTTGTGTTTTAATGCTTTATCATTTGTTCCTAAAAGGGTTATGATGTTTCTTTGATGAAGCTGAGCGTGCTGGGCTGTGCTTTTCCTTTGTTATTACATACAATTCATTAATTTGCAAATTTGTTATCCTGTGACTAGGAAACTAAAGAAAACATGACAGCTGTCACAGGGTGATGCACACCATTATTGTTTACAGTGAAATGATGGACCGGATCTGTTCCAGTACACTGCAAACAAAAAAGTGGATTAATTTTATATTGCTGTGCATTATTAATTGCATAAAAACAATAAATAATTAGGATCTTTATATCTGCATATTCAAATCTTACAGAAGGCATATAAAGAAACATGGAAATCCAGTTACATTAGTTTTTTTCCCCTAAAAGTTCAGTACTTTCGTTTTGTTTCCTTATTATGTCATAACTGAAGAGTAACATTTGCCTAATATTGAGAAATAGAAGCGATTTACACATTTGTGCTTCAGCTTCTCAGTTACTCCCATTAAAAAAAAAACTATTTTGTTGTGGCTTGTCTCCTAACTGTTCTGGTGGTTTTCAGGCTCACATGTACAATGTGAAATATTTTTATTGTCAAGTAATGTAAACACAGCTACATGTGGAGTTGCTTTCTTTATGCACACTTTATGGATGTTTGGATTTTTCTCTTTGCCTTCTGAATCACTCCTGTACTGACTTTCATAAGCATCCCAGACCATGTATATATGTGTGTTCTGCCTTTCTTAGAATAATTTTTCCTCTAAAATAAAGCCCAAAGAGTATGCATGTGGTTTTACAGATTTATATAAAAATCCGTATCTTTAAAATTCTAAGGTTTTTTACCCTGTCACTGTTAAATGGATAGTGTTGTTAAACTTCAACACTGAATAATACAATATAGCCTGAATATACATATTACATCCTACGATGTTAAAAACTAACTCAGTTGGAGCTAATTTTATTCACATCTGTATCAGTTATATTAATTTAAATCATTTCCTCCGAATATTGGTATAACAATATACGAGAATTATAATAGGCCTATTAGCAAAGACTATCCTGAATACCTGAATCCTGAAAAGTGATCAACCTAGTCCTGTAAGAGAACCTAAAACATAGCTCTGTCTCCCTCTAGGGGCATTTAATGAAAACTGCAGTGGCAAATCCAGGGAAAAGGAGTTCTGTGCATGATTTGTTCAATTCTGCCTCCTTTGATGTTTGCATATTGTAGTGCAACATTTTTAATTTAAATTATTGAACTGCAGGTTAATGTGCATAACAGCATCTCCCTGAAGTGTGCTGTGTTTGGTTTGCAAAATTTGTTTTTCAAATGAGTGGGCATGGTTGTTTACTTTACTAAATACTGCATGTACAAGATAAGACAAGATCCTAGCAATGGAGTGTATCCAGGAAAACAGCTAAGAATTGAAATTCAGGATTAGGAAACCAGGATTATTTAGCTGTGGTGAATTATATCCCCCATGAGTAGGATGGGTGTCCTGAAATGAGTTTAATATTTGTAGTCTTGCAGTTCTTGGACTACATTTTGTCCTGTTGAATCACATAACATCATCATACCAATGAGTCACAAAGGAACATTTTTCAACACCACGTTTAGTAAAATTCTGCATATTTAATTCTCAATCTGCTGCAGATACCTAGCTGCTGGCTTGAAGACATGTTGATGAATATATTTGTTTTAAGCCATACCCAAATTCAGAGATCATAGTCCCTTATAAATGTTTCAGCTGCAGACCTACAGACTGCAAATACTTCTATGTCTGGGTAGGTTTATCTAATTACATGTATAAGTGGAATCATGAATCTGCTCCTATATACCATGCAGGGAAAATATAAAAAGGTTAACAAGATTTCAGGGTTCTATTAATGAAAGTATAACATTTTAATAGTTTATCTATTTGGTTGCTATGATGCAAATGATCTGACCAGGCTAAAGGAATGACATATACAGACAGGTTAAAGGGCTTACATTTTTTCAACCTTGAACAGCATATGCTATTAAGTGACTTTGAATGAACTACGTTTTTTCAAATACTAAGGTTTATTGACAAACTAAACCCAGGAGACCAACAAGTGAAAATTAGGCCTGAAAAAAGGAGGCACATCTGCATATAAAAGTGTCTGGAATAGGTTTTCCAGCTGCTGTTTGAATGCAGATTTCCTAGGAGCCTTCGGGAGTTGACTGGAGGAGATCCTAAGATCAATGAGCTTCCAGCAAACAAAACATTGTGACAGTATTTTCTCACATTGCCCACACTAAACTCATACAGATAGCCCTGGGCGCAGGGAAACCAGAGAAGTTCATTTTTGATAAAACCCCTCTATAATATGAAACGGAGAAAAAAGCCTCACAGACACGAGTAGTGCTAATCCAGCAAAGAGGTTCAACCACAGATTTATCAAGAAAACTTCTGGCAGCAGCAATAATACTAAAATTAATATTAAATTGCTACCCAAAGTGGCACTGTCTGTTAAACCACATATCTGTCCATCATTCTGGTTTGCAATCATATATGCAAGTTTTCATTATTTTTTTAACATATACATTATATATATAAGTTCAGGTGGGTAGCTGTGTCAGCATGCGTAGGCTGCAAAGGAACAAGTATTAGGTTTATTCCATGCTGAAAAGAGAAGAAAGAAAACACAACGCTTCGGCTGTGGAGCCTTCTTCGGGTGTGTGGAAGAAAAGTGGTGTGTGAAGATAATAAATGTCAACTAATAAGATAATGTCTGGATCAGGGTTTCTGTAAAGTTCTCTTCTTAAACTGGTAAATCTGAGAAACAACAAGATATAGAATTTACATTTCTGTATTTTTGACCGCTTCCAGTGTCTTGCCGGATTACAAATTGTGAATAGATTAGAGACTTAGATTAGACTTGCACAGTACTTGCACAAACCCCTCTTTCAACAAGATCTTTAAATTACATACTTACTGTAAAAGTTTCAATCATTTTTTAAATCTGTTATGTAACCACTAGGTACAGCTGTAAATATGCCACTCAGTTCCAAAGGATTAATTGTATAAAATTGATTTTAAGTTTTTTTTTAATTACAAGATTCATTTTTTCCTACATATTTCATTATTCCATAGACAACTGCAATTATCCCCTGGGCTAGTCAGTCTTGTGATAGGTGCGTACCAACACCTCACCTCAGAGCTGCCAGCGATCATTCCTGATCTGTTCTGCTTCTTCGCTTGCTAAACAACAGAGAAGCTTTGTGGGGACAGATACTGTTGTGCCACTGGAGTTACAGAGGGAAACAAAGGTATGTCTTTTGTATTATGTTTACTCAAATGTATGAAATCTCGAGATCAGGAAGCTTGTTTCGAAATGCTGACATTGTCTTTACATCACAATGAATCTTCCATTTCCTTTTGGAACTGTTTGGACTGCACGACCATCCGATGATCAAACTGCATATCTGCCATTATTCCCAAGGTAAATAACAATGTATTTTCATGTCCTGTGAAGTAATAACTTGTGATTTTGTCATTTTCACAAAATTGCTCATATAACCAAAATGCCAGCAGATCACTGACATTCACCCACAGACAAGCAAGTAGTTGGATGAAATGTGGAGTGTGTAAAACCTGTTATTTTCTGTCTAATTAAAACAGCCTGAGAGACTTCATCCATCATAGAACACTTGAACATGCTACACTAATGTGGCATCTTACAGTACATCTAAACCTTTGTCTTCTAAATTGCTGCTTGATGGGGACAGCAAACACACAAGGTTTTGTAGGCAGTTTAAATGATTAAAAAGTAAGTGAAACGCCTTTTCCTCCAAAATAATCAAACTCTTGATACTTACTCAGGGGACTGATACTAAATGATAAAAAAATGCCAGAAATATCTTCTCCATCATCTCTTCTTTGTAAGGCTTAGAAGAGCACAGCAGCTTCTATGTTGAGTGTGGGTGTGTGATATACAGAAGTAAAACAATTTGCTTTGAAAAAGAAAACATCTTTCAAATCAAAAGAAACATCGTCAAATATGAGCTGATTCTGTCAAGAATTATGAATGTTTAACATAACTTGAAAAATATTATTGGGTATCTGATCTAACCTTCCTTCCCACACAATGTGAGTCTAGACCTATTTTTAACTGTAGTGGGAAATGGAATAGCCTTACATTTCGTGGTTTTAAAAAAAAATGCCATGGAACTCTAGTGGTTCAAAAGCATCACTTTTGAACTATAAAATGGAAGCCCCTGTGGAGCTATCAGTGGAAGCTGTCCTTTGACTAAAATTGTATTTGTGTTTTGCATGTGATGTGAAAAGAAACAATCATTTGTCACTCTTAGGAGCTTGGCAACAATATGTAGCTGCTTAATTTGTGACAGGTATAACAGCATTACAAAAGTTCCTATATTCCAAACAGGAATTTAAAGCTCCCTAATGTTATGGAACACTAAACCTTTAGTGAAGCAAATTACTAGTTCAACTAAAGTTGTAATTTAAGTAATTAAGAACTCATTTTCTAAACCTGCAAAAATCACATTGTATAAAACACAGTGCTATATTCTCCAGCAAAATCAAATATATTTTTAATATATCACACAACAAGAAGTAAATATTCAGTGCAGTCATTACAGAAATCACATAAATTAACTCACAACAGCAGCAAGTCGCAATAACAACAAAAAATATTTTGTAACAGAGAAATCTCCACCTCTCCCTTCTGTTCCTCTCACAAACTAAATACCGGATACAGTTTTTTTACAAGGTCTTACTTCTTAAAGAGGCTGTAATCTCAGTGTGATTGCCTAACCGAATCAGAATTAATAAATACTTAAGACTGTTACAACAGAAAAGATAACATCTTTAGCACTACAGAATAATCTATGCAAAAACACACGTATTAAACTATACTGTGCATAACTGTGAAATGTCAGCATTGAAACGAATATTCATTAAATTCACATTGTACAACATACTAACACAAACAGAAATATTCATTTTACCAGCCAATTCCTCATTTCTGTATTAACTAAAATACACAAAATACAACTAAACAGATTTCTTGAGCTCCACGTGGTTTGTTTCTGCTAATAAAAGACAAGTTCAACAATGTTTTGTTTAGTAATGAGACAGTATGAAAGACACTTCAAAAAGCCTTATTGATAAACATTCTTGCATGATTTATGCTATTTACCAAGTATTGCTTGATTGCTACTGTACATCTTGCTGCTCCAAAGCAGAACTGTGTGTGTTCGGCTCCATTTTTTTAATGTTCCAAAAGGGGAAAAAAACAATAATTTGGACAAATTGGATTTTTGTTGATCCATTTATGACTCTGGGACAACTGTAGCTTTGTGGCACCTCAGTCAGACAGACCCTTGATGCCATTATTTCATGTGATATATAATTATTGAGTTTAATATTGAGTAAATATGGAGGGTTAATGCCACATGCAGAGATATTAACAATCTAAGAATGTCTGAATGGACTTGTAAAGGATGTCAATGTTGTACACATATCAAATTAGAAACTGTCCTGCCCTTCACTGCAGGTATCAAAACCACATGTCTGTTTTTGTTGGCTGGGGCATGGGGCTGGTACAGCCTCAGAGTAACAGTTTACTGAAAGCAGGGGCAAATGACCATTTTAATGACAAAGGAAATGCGAGATAAACAAAATCATAACATTAGTCAAATGGTGATCAGCCTTAGCTTTGGGGAATAGAGAGCCTATGACAAAATAAGGAGATAAGAAGACATACCCAAGTTAGAAGTCTTTGCGTCTGGCATCAAGTAAGTAGATCGCATCTGCGGTGACCTATCTAACTTTTTTATCTACAGAATGGTAAGGGATTCTGTATTCTTGGGTAGGAATTGTCATCACATCTTTGTGTCTAAAGATTTCAAACTGAGTCTGCACCTAAGTTCACACAAACTTTGACAACAGCCAGGAGCTATGGAACCGAAACATCTGTTTTCACAAGCCATAAATAAAACATACTGTCCAGAACAGAGAAAGATGACATGGAGATAAAGAGCCCCATATTGTTTTTAGTTATACAGTGTACTTTTCTAACTCTCCACAACAGGCATGATCTTTGAAAGACTGCTTTATAACACGTTTGTAATATATAGAATAATTCTTCGTGCATCAAAAGCATCTCAATGCCATAATGTTGACAAGAACGTGAAACATAATCGTAAACGTGAAATCAATTAGGTGTTACTGCTTTATACATTCTATACACACATTGTACAGCGTGTTAGTAAAGTCCTGTTCAAATCCACTAACAAGCAGTAAGCGTTGTTTAAAGGTCTAATTATCAGGATTGTGATGCCTATGAGGATTGCTAACTAATCTGTCCATTGAAAACATATTTAAGTTGACTATGGAGATGTAAAAGGGTGGGTAAAGTGAAATTCAGCAATTCAAGTAATGTTTGGACATGAGACCACACAGAACAATGTTAGTGATGTTTTGGAAAGGAGTAAGTTCATTTCCCATTTTTACTTCAACTATATATTGAAATACAAAAATTAAACATATTAGTGTTCCAAGCAGCAGGCCTGTTGCTTATCAATATAGCAAAAAATGTCCACATTCACAAAGTATACATAGCTAAGAACTGAATCAAAATCTGAAAAATTAAATAGTACCACATTTTTTCAGCAATCAATCTTCTGTTGCTCAGTTTAGTGAAAGTTCAGTAAACGTTTCCCAGAAACTTTCCAACTGTCTGTAAAGCAGCTTATCCTCACTATAATCTGTCATGAATCTTGGAACATTCACCTAATGCCAGAATGAGAACCATGTGCCCTGCCACTGTTCATTTACTTTAGCATTTCCATTTATTTTTGCATTTCTCTCAATGGCAAAGGTTATTTTTTATGATTTTTTTTTCCAGTCAAGATAACCTGGGGAAGACGACCGCTTCTGCATGCATGTCTTATGGTCTTCATCTTGTCTGATAATAAAATAATGTACAACTAAGGACTGGCGTCACATCCAGAATGTACTCCTGCCTTGTGCCTGCCGGGTTAGGTTCTGGCTGACCACAACCCTCTAGGAAGAAATGGTTACTGAAGATGGATGAATGGAAAAAGCATGTATGTCATACATACATCTGGGTGGACGTGGGTGAGTACCGGTGGTTTTGCCACAGGGAGGAACAGAGGTTGTGTCCTCTGTTCCTCTGTCTAGTGATGCAGCTTGTGTGATTATTTTCTTACATTCATTTCAAATTTTGTTCATGATGGATGGTGTGGGACATGACCATTCGGACAAACTCACTGGTTAGATTACTATGATGACTTGATAGCATTACCTGTCATCACTTGTCCTCTAACAAGTGGCGTCATTCACAGACAACAATGGCTTAACACCACAGTTTTGCTCTTATGAACAGCTCACTGTGTTAGGTCAGAGGAGCATCACAAACAAAAGTAAAAAACGTGGTTTGGACCACCAACAATCTGAGAAAAACTCAGTTTTTCTGTGCCTACTTTGGCCAGTATAAAATTTAAATGATTTTTACCCATTCTCCACAAAACACAAAGAGGTGACTGGGCAATTAAGGGATTGACTGGACTTGGCTCTAGTGTCCAAAAGCTTCCCTCTCCCAAAACAATTCACTATTACATATCTATTCACAGTAAAATGTGCTTGATGGCCTGTTACTGTTCTTCATATATGCTTATATTTATACTTCCACATACACACATATACATATTATTTCCAGACACAGCACCTCAGTTCCTCGGGAGAGTAGGGGCTATGTTTCTGTCGCCTTTTGCTGTGACACCGGTTCCTGTTGGTGCAGAGATGAGCGCCTCCTCTGGCTGTGGCACAGCTTCTCCACGAGCTTGTGCACCAGGGTCCGGCAGAGGGAGGTGCGGAAGATGATGAAGACCCAGGGGTCCACGATGGAGTTCACGGAGAGGAACCGCAGAGCGTTCAGGTCCTTTTCTTCCTCCTCGGCTCTGGGTTCTCCTGGGCTGAAGGCTCCAATGTAGGCCCGTACCTGGAAGAAAGCCACATCGCCGAGGCGTGGATCAGATGTCATGCCCTCTGCAGCCAGAGGGCGCTCCTTCTCTGTCCTGTCCCTAGTTTCCGGTCTGCTGTCCTTCCGGTCCCTCTCTTTCCCTTGGGCTATATATTTCCGAGTCATTCACTCTGTCCTCGCTCAGCATTGATGTTCGGATGTCCTGAGACCCGCCTAGCACCAGGGCGCCCCACGTCCGCTCCCTGAGGGCATAGGTTTCTATACGGCATTCATGAACTCTTTGCACTAATGAGCCCAGGCCTTTTTTCCTGTCTCGCCGCTACGCATATGGGTCTTTTTCCGCTCTCCTGCTCCCCACGGTGAGTCCCTTTGGACGTCCGTGACATCAGAGTCGCACTTCGCGGACGAGGGGCAGACAGTCTTGCCTCTCACCGTTACACAGCAGATTCGGGGATGATGAAGAGGCCTGTCAGCTTTTGCATTTATTCATTCAGTTACCTATCTTCAGTGACTCAGTGTGATATTTCCTGTCAAGTCTGATACATATTAATTCCTTGCATTTATTGATATCATATGAAATAATATAATAGCTGATGTCCAATGCTTAGTCTTTAAAATAAGACTAACTGTCTTTTGTTAAGCAATCTGTCTCATGAAAATAGCATCAAAATCACTGGTTGCATTTACGTTGCTTTTACAAAATTATGAGGAAGTGTGTTATCCATGTTTTAGGTTCCTCTCCATTTTGTTGTTTACACAGCCATGGTTAATCGAAACAAATATGGACTGACACTGAAGAGCGCTCTTTAATAATATCACCATTTCTCTCTGTTTTATCTTCTGAATAAAACTTCTGAAAGCAAAGGTGAACAATTAAGCCATTTGTAACAGTACCAGGAATTGATTCCAGTCATCCCAACATAATCACCTTTTAATTAAAACAAATGACAGATACTCAATAGTAAGTTGAGGACAGGAGGTTAATATGTTTATCTACAAATTCCTGTAGCAGAATGTTAACTGAAAGTTTATTAATACATCATCAAGTTTATACTTCATTTTTACAGTCACTTCTTTATTCAATCAGGAAAGCCAGCTGTGCTAACAAACTACACATACTGTACTACACCCAAATAAATTCAGACTGTCACCTAATTAAATATTTTTACCTTACCTTTTGTATATACTGCAAATATACCACATGATAAAAAGCTAGCTGTCAATGTGGAAGGAGATAAGACCTTAAGTAAAGTAAATATTTTATTGAAAGGCAGAAATATTCTGTAATGATACATTTTAAATGTATTATTAATAGTAAAGCTGACATACGTGTATGGATTGAGACAGATATGAGAGGTAGTAGCAGACACCTCTAACAAATTTAACCCTTTCTCAGACTTTTTCACAATCCACACACAAGAGGATACAAGCAGAAACTATGGGCAAGCGTGTATAAAAAGCTTTTTTAACACAAAAAGACAACGTGACCAGGCCTAATTTTATCAAGTAGAAAGCATCACACCAACATGCATCTCTTAATTAAGACACACATACTACTCACGTTTATGAAGGGCTGCTTTCTAAATACTTGTGAAATGTTATTTGCATTTAAGCTACTGAAATCAGTGTGGGCCAAGATTTCAAGATAACGTGACACCTTATACTTGCACACAATTTATGTGAATGCATAACCTTTCACAAATAGCACCTTGCAATGCTGAAACAGGCATTTTTCATAATGTGGAATGAATTTTTCGGCCATAACACACATGCGCATGATTTATTGCTTCCAAAGTTTCATGCAAAAGACACATTTGTGAGTGAAGAGAAGAACAACTGCTCATCTTTTTCATAATGTTATAAAGTTATTTTAAATTGAATCAACTTTTTCTTCCCATGTTCCCATTTAATTAATTTACAGATCTAACAATTTCTACTGTGTAAGAAAAATGTTGTAATTGTAAGTCTTTTGCATTTAAACTATATTCAGAGTAAGAAACAAGTTTCCTTTTGAATTCTATGCATGAACTATGCTTAAAATAATTACCAATAATAAGTGGTGCAGCCTGTGTTTATACTTAGGTTTTTTATCTTTAGTCCCCAACAAGTCCATTCATTCATTTTCAAACCTCTTTATCTGATACAGTGTCCTGGGGAATTCCAAACCGGACAAGCAAGGGGAACAAGGGAGGATACACCCTGGATGGGATGCCAGTCCATCGCAGGAAATATAGTTTCCAACCCATTTATTCAAATTACTATTATCATTATCATTAAGTAAATACTTATATAAGCATTCCTGATGTTTGTTTTAGATCAATTGGCAGCTCACTATTATTTATTTTTAAATTTTCCTCATACATGTAACTTAATATATCAATATCATGATCTATATTACACACACACACACATATATATTTATATACTCTGTCCTTGTTGTGACAGCGGTGTTACCAACTTATATACTGATATTGTCTGATCTCAGATGCAAAACAAGGATCTGCTGGGTTGACTTTCTTGATGCCTTTGAGGATTTTAAATACTTGTATCAGGTCATCTTGTGTCCGTCTCTGTTTAAGACTAAAAAAGTTTAATTCCTTCAGCCTGTCAGTGTAGGACATTCTCTTAAGCCCTGGAATGAATCTGGTTGCCCTTCTCTGGATGGATTCCAGAGCAGCAATATCTTTTCTATACATATCTTATCTATTTTGTACATAATATTCTAAATGAGGCCTCACTAGCACATTATACAATAACAATACAATTACACCCAAAGAAGGCTCCACAGCTGAAACGTTGTATTTCCTTTCTTCTCTTTTCAGCATGGAATAAACCTATTACTTGTTCCATTATACAATAACACCCCTTAATTTATTTTTGCACTTTTTACTATGTATCCTAGCATTTTGTTTGAAATTTTAATTGCTTCCCCACATTGTCTAAAAAAATCGAACTGATGTGGGTGGCACAGTGGTGCAGTTGTTAGCGCTGCTGTCTTGCAGTGCTTGAAGCCATGCGTTCAGTTTTGGACCTGGGGTGCTGTCTGTGTGAAGTTTGTATGTTCTTCCCAGGTTTGTGTGGGTTTTCGCCTGGTGTTCTGGTTCCCTTCCAGAGTCAAAGAAGCTACTGGTAGATTAATTGACTTCTGGGAGAGTTGGCTCTAGGTGTGTCTGTGATTTTTGTCTGTCTGCTGATGGACAAGCAGGGTGTATAATGCCCCTTGTTTGCAAGGCTAGGCTCCAGCCGGTTTGTATCCTGTGGCTGGTAGAGGAATCCTCCTCCTCTGGGCCCCTGAGCAAGGCCCTTAACCCCAACTGCTCCAGGGGCGCTGTATAAATGCCTCACCCTGCGCTCTGACCCCAAGCTTCTCTCCCTGTCTGTGTGTCTCATGGAGAGCAAGTTGGAGTATGTGAAAAGACAAATTCTATTTAATTTTCTGTTTCTACAGTGTTTGAAAATCCTCTTAATTTGGTATCATTTACAAACTTGACTAGTTTACTATTCCAGACTCTACAGTAGATCACTGATATAAATCACGAAAAATAGGTATACTAGTACATATCCCTGCCGTACTCGACTGATAACCCCAGTTTGAGTGCCTGTATTCCGACTTTAATATTTTATGAGAAACTTTATCAAAAGTCATATGAAAAACTAAATACATCATATCTGTTGTTGTTTGTTCAGAACACTAACAATTTCATAAGATACCACTGGACCCTGGTGATTTATTAATCTTTAGTGCTTCTAGCATCAGAAACTCTTCTCTTTCTTCTATGCTGATACGGTCCAATACAGCTTTATCTGTCTACTGCCCTAGATATTTTGTTAATAAATATTCATTTAGTACATCAACCATTTCCTTTCATTTTCATCGTCTAAAATATATGCATATGCTTTATGCACACACTGTATACTGTATGTACAGTATATACCATTTATATACCAGGTTTTATTTTGAATATGTACCTTGTCTCTTGCTACTGTAGGTCTAGGCTATGTCTATGTATTTGTTGTTAAACATAAACATTTGAATGCCCCTTTTAGACTGCAGAAGCAGACGACCCTGCCAAAACACTGAGAACACTTCTTTGAAAGAGACTGACAAAGATAAGGTGTTACAAGCCAATGGGTCTATTACTAACCAGCACCAACAGGGATATGAAGATACTCAGATTTCACTAGGTCGAGTACGGTCATATCAAAATAACTAAGGAGTTCCCACACCCTGAATGCAAACATCCTGCCTCACTCCCAGGCTCTTCTGTGAAATCTAGTGATGTAACAAAATCCAATATTCTGTAATATTTTGCTGAAACTTGAGGGTTCACGGCCTCTAAAGAATTGAGTTGCTTTTTTTTAATTAAAAATGCTCTTTATTTAAGATGTACTTTTTTTAGATATTGTGAACTTGAATGGTCACCGTGCAACCCCCCTGTGAGCCTTTCTGTCTGTAATATTGCCTGACTTTGGCAAAAGAAGGAAGTCTATTCAAGTACAATGGAATACACGTTCTGCGGGCTGACCTACGAGAAGAAACCTAGAGAATAAACAAAAAACAGAAGCCTGAAAATAATCTATTTTTGAAATACAATGTACCATAAATCATGTAGTTTTGGAGACTCGCTCTGTTCTGAACCATAACATAATTATGTTAGATATCATTAACGATTTCTGTTCCACCTCTCTTCAGCCAACAATTGTTACAGTATACCAATGAAAATAAGTTGAAAAATGCAAGTTTGTTTTTTGAGCAAATTGCACTAAATTAAAGGAAAAAAACACGATCGTCATCAGCATTGATGAGCGTCTTATTAATACTCTAGGTTCGATTTCACTTGTTAAAGTGCATTTAAGGGATGATGAATTTAACACATTTAACAATGCGCTGCCTGTTTGAACACAAGGTTTTCAATTCATTGTGGGGCTTGATGTCTTTAAAACTGGGACATCACACTGAATTCCATACTTCTCCTTCATGATAAAAGGACACTACTTCAGAGATTAACAGATGGCATTGATAAGAATAGTGAGTCATAGTTGGTTTCTTCTAGCGAATGTAAATTAATCCGCTAGAAAATTCAAGTTGCCACACAGGTTTCCGGTAACCCCAATAGCTGAAAATGAATAGGTATAACATGTCCTATTCTTTTCACACAAAAAGACAATTCCAATAAATGATCTCGCTTCCTTATTGTATTTAAACATCTGCCTTAACCCCCGATACAAAGGCGACTTTATGTAGGAATTAAGAAAATTACATAAACTTTATGAACAAGCAAACGACATGATCACGTTGACTGAAAACCAACAAAAACTAAAACGCTATAAACAGAATTCAGAATAAACCAGGCGTCAAACAATATTTGATATATTTAAAAACTGTTTTACTTTGATTCTTCCAAAAATAAACAATTGTAATTTAGTTGCAAAATTAAATAAATAAAAATCTACTCATCCGTTTTCTTACTTACGGTGATAGGGACTGAACAGATGAGAAAGATCAAAGTCATGAGCCCCAGAAGAATGAGGTGGTCTAACTCCTCGGGATGACGGCTCTTGGGCGGCTGACAAGTCCCTTCTCCTGTTGTTACATCGAAAGAAGCGCTCCAGCTGTTCTGCCGGCGGGACAGTTTGTACATCTTCAACAGGTTTATCTTCACCGTGATGTTGCACACCACGATAGCCAGGATCATCACCAATATTAGTGTGGCATACAGAACTGAGAACGCCTTATCCTCCGGTTTCGTCTCGCTCATGCTGATAAAACACCAAGTCCCAGGATGATACTGCCTGTACCTGCCAATTTTGAATGCGGGCATCAAACAGAAGACCAAACAGATCGCATAAATCCCGAGCAGAAAGAGGAGCGCTCTCTTTTTAGTGATGTGCTGCTGATAAAAGTAAGGATGTCCGATGGACAGCAAACACTCCAGAGCCATAGTCAACAGAATGAGCATTGAGCACAAGCCGAAGAAAGCCATCAACGAGGCAAAGGTCTGGCACAGGTGGTCACTGAGGTCCGTCAGACATTTGGAGAGCGCGTAAGAAGCCATTACCATCGGGCTTAACAGTATTTTACCCAGTAAATCCGTCCAAACCAGACCAGTGACCAGCACGTAGAAAACGGAGACATGGTTGTATCTGGTGTTGGTTTTGTGTCGGTAAAGGATCCAGAGAGCGATTGTGTTGCCGACAAACCCTGTTGTAAAGAGCATCACGCAGTACACAACCGACTGCCGATTTGCTGTGGGATCTGTGGTATTTGAGATGCTGCAGGTGTTGCTGGTGTTGTTCTGCATTTTGTTTAATTGTTTTGGGGTTTTTTTTAGCCACGGACTGTGTTCTAATCCATTCAAGTTTGTATGTGTTCGACAAAACACAACCCACGAAAGGTAGTGCAGGGTCAGAAGTAGTGGTAGTTTTAAAATCTTATCTCAGCAACTTGTGTCTTTCACTTCACCAGTCTTCTTCATCGCGTTATCTTCCCCCCTCAGCGAAAGACTCCTCTGGTTGCGTTTTCAAATTCGCACTTAGCCGCCCGACCTTCTTGCACTTGACAGCTTTAGCGGAATTGCAAAATACGTCTACATGCAACAGTTAACAGCTGCTTTTAAGCACTGCCCCATTTGCGGGCTATGTGACATCATCGCGACATAGTGTTGTAGCCTGTATATGTTTCTTTTGCCGGAAGGAAAAAAAAAAGATAGTATTACTTTCCAACTGATAACTTACAGAAATGTTAACTGCAAGAGAAAACTACTGTTGTCAGACACCGAATAAAAAAATAATTTGGACGCTATGATTTAATTCAATACAAATGAAAACAAATATTTTTGAAAGGTTGACAAATCCTAAATAACCCCAACAACTGTTGTAGCAGCAGTAGCAGCAGCAGCAATAAAAATTAACATTTTTGTTTATGTTACATTGTTTGAACTGCTCTCTTGTTAAAGTTTCGGTTAGTGGTAGCTGTTACATACTTCATCAGTTTTGTAGGACATGAAAAGTTGTTAAAAATAGTCACGATAAGACTTTTAAGTGAAACCAGTGTATTGTTTTATTGTTCATATAGACCTTGACCACAGAACTCCCTAAATATTGATGGTCAGCACCAGGCGTGGCTATTAAACGTCATTACATTTTCACAATTGTCACAAGATAGTTATTATGCGTCTTTTTAAAACAGATAAATAATTCAGTTTTGTTCAGTTTACCAAATGCTAGAAGCCTTTTTGTCTCGTGAATAGAGCGCCACCTCGCGGGGTATTATTTCTTACAACTGAGTACTGTATCTTCAATACTCGACATAACATGATAGTGTTCGTCCACAAAGCTGAGCTTTCCTTTTCTGAATAATAAT